TGATTCTTGGGTGACCATTATAAATAATACTATAAATTTGTGTCCTAAATTGTTTTGTTCTTCCTGCAAACCCCTAACTACAACAGAGCTCAATGTTAATGAGTCAACAGTACATATTACATAAGTTGTAACAAAAACAAGCAGAAAATAAGGTTATGAATCGATGAACTGAAGAAAATTGTCTAGCAGCTTGCAAGAACCCTGCCCCGTGTTTCCTCAGGAGTAGTGGCTCAGTGTTTGATAATTCAGTGTCTGTGGTGATGTCATAGAACACAATTTCAGTGAATAATAAGACTCAACAGAGTTCCCAAAGAGAACTATACAGAAACATTTCACACTTTTATAGGTCTTCAAATTTGTTCATCTTGCAGCTCTGTTCCATATTACAACACTCTGAAGGTGGAATTTCTCCAAAGCAGATGTGTCTGAACAGCTGTATGAGATGGTATTCCTTTGCTGTGCACTAATGCCAAAGATAACTTAAAAGGAGGAAAGGTTTCTTTTGGTTCCTGGTTTCAGAGAGTTTAGCCCATGGTTACTTTGCTCTGTGGTGGCCCAGGGTATCGTATCAGGAATATATGCTGGGGGAGAGAGAGACCTGGTGATGTAACCTCCTCAGGCTAGGCTCCGCCTCCTAATGTCTCCCCACCTCCCAGCAGTGCCACAGGCTGGTGACCAAGTTTGTATCACATGAGCAATTTGGGGGACAAAGTAAAGCAACTGCTTTTCAAAGACAGGTACCACTCTGCGGTCCATCTCTCACACACAGCAAAGCCACCTGGGGGTGTGCATGAGGTTCCTCGTGGCTTGCCCCTCGCTAGCTGAGCCATTCCTGAGACCGTGGCGCCTGGAACAAAGACTTTCCCAAGACATCCCGCAGTTGTACATTTAAGTGGTATTTTTTTAAAGGAAACGTAGATTTGTGTTCAAGTTTGCAGTTTACTTCATGATAATATCTTGGAAGAAAAACTATTCCAGATGCTCTGTTCCTATGACTTTAAAAATGTCAGTTCAGAGGGCGGAGTCATACAAAGCACAAGCAGCTGCAGGTATCTCCTTCAGCACACACGTTTCTAGAGTCTGAGCAGTGAATCTCAAAGGTGTTCGTGCTCTTTGTCCACTCTGAACAGTCCAGAGGATCCACAGGAGAATCGAGCTGGAGTGGAGAACAGCTGCTAAACTAGAGATGGCAAACATGTCGTGGCTTGTGGGTCAGCTGTCATCAGTGGGTAGTGATTACAGGGACGTGTGGATTGAGAGGAAATGGAAGCCCAAATGCAAGCTGAGTGCACCATGACATGATTGACTAGCGATGTCTGCCGTGGGTGACAGGAGATACCATATGGGTCATGTATTTGCTGTCCACAAGTCACGGTCATGAGCTCAGCCAGGAGACTAACCCTGCAGCTAGGTCACCGGGTGATGTTAGAGTCATGATCTCTCTCAGTGCTATGCTTATCCTATTGCCTCTTGTAGGGTAGAAGCTCCGTAAACAACTGCTGGATGTTGATAGGACACGAGTGTCTACATACCAGTGTGTAAAGCAGGGGAGGAGGACCAGACAAGCAGCCCGGAAGCAGCAGCTCGAGGCCTCTGATTCTTCCAGCGTGGCTTGAGATCCCACTGCCTGTGTGGCCACCTCCTACACTCTCACCTAGGGCCACTTAAAGATGCCAACAGTGATAGCTGTCACAGTGCTACCCCTGAAGAATAGGTCAAGTTTCTGGGGGCCACAGGGGCTCAGCAGGACCCCGGCTTGGAAGTGGATTTTCTGATATTTCTGAGTGCTCAGAGCTCCAGCTGCCCAATGGGTGTTATGTAGGAAGAGTCACTACAAAAAAGCATTTGTAATTGATTTGTGTCCGTTTGGAGGTCGTATTTACCAATAGATCCGCTTGTATCCTTGGGGTGTGTTCAGGCTAATGAGGGCGAGACATTTGTCCCTGCTCCAGTGCGCTGCAGGACCAGGCCATGCCTGCAGCTTCTCCTCAGGATTCCCTCGGAAGCAACAGCGGGAAATCTGTCAGAGCAGCTCGGGCGCCCAGCAGATGTCTGTGGAACACAGGGGCTGGGAGAGGAGTGGAGCCCGGGCTGCTGTCTAGAGGGAGTTCAAGCACAGATAGATGCACACAGGCGATCCCCAGAATTTTGTTTTGAATTACTTTTAAAAGATTTCATCTTTTAAACATGGGCCATGTGTTTTAGAGTCTACATAGAGTATTGCCGTGGAAGTAAAGGAACAAGTGAGATGCCTCGTTCCAGCAGCCAGAGTGTCACCGCGGGAGTAACATTCCCATGGTGGGGAGCCCAGGGCCCACCCGCGGCAGGAGCTCTGAGCTTGTGTCCTCAGGCACAGCACTGACTTTTGCTTCACCCGGACGTAGTGATGTGGCATAATGTCAGAGTGGCATTATGCCCCTTAAAACAGAGGACCCAAATAAAATCCAAAATCTCGTAAGAGGAAAATTGTTCAAGATACAATTGAAAAAAAAATTACCAATCATACCAGGAGGCAGGAAAAATCTCACTTGATGAGAAAGGAAAGCTGACAAAGGGAAACACCCAGATGACAGAGATACTGGGATTATCTGACAAGGATTTTAAAGCAGCCACTACAAAGATGCTCCAGTGAACCGTGATGAACACACTGCAAACAAATGAGAGAAACAGAACACATCAACAAAGAACAGGATGTCTCGGGAGAAGAAAAAAGCTATAAAGAAGACCAAAATGAAACTACAGAACAAAAATATCTAACAACCAGCTCTGAAAAAGGTAAACAACCCACAGCACCAGTGGACTGGCTTAACAGAGAACAAAGGGCACAGAACAAGGGACCTGTAAATTTAAAGACAGAATGATAGAACTACTTAACCTGGACAATACAGTGGAAATAAAGACCAAGCAGAGCCAGAGACCAGAGGGTTATGATAAGAGAGCCTGCTACATTAGAGAAGGATGGACCTAAAAAGCATTTCAAATGGTTCAAAATTTACAAAATTTAGCAAAGTGAAGGTCGTGGGTTATTTTTTTCAATACCCCAGAAAGAAACGCACAATGTTTTTCAGATGGTTAAAGAGGAGATTTATATCCAGAGACAGTAAACTTCAGAGATGAAGGAGAAATCAAGAGATGTTCACATGAAGAGAAGTTAGGGGGTATTGTCACCAGTGTAGCCACCCAAAAAGAATGTCTGGAGGAAATTCCCTAAACCAAGAAGAAACTTCAACAGGAGGAAGGGATTAATGAAACTTCACAGAGGAAGAGAGGGCAGTGAGACGAGCAAAAGTTAGAGGAAACACAGATGTTCCTTCTTTTATCGAACTTTCTAGATTATATCTGATGGCTGAACAAAACGTATAACCCTATCTATTGTGGCTTGCAGTGTCTGCAGGGAAAATGTTTAATATTGTGTCTGTGGGAGGGTAAAAGGACTCAAGTGTAAGGAAAGTTCCTCCATATTACTTGAACAGGTGAACGTCTATACCAGGAGACTGCAAAGTTACGTGTGATAAATGTGTTACAGGATCAGCTACAAGCATATACAAAGAGAGATGCTGGATAACACTTCAGATAGGTCAAAATGGATTAAAAACATTTAGGTAACCGAGACAAAGGCGGGAGAAACAAAACAGACATTTAAAAGTAGAGGTAACACACACACACACACACACAAAACAAAACAAAATAAATGGCAGAGTTAAACCCCTGACAGGTCAATAATTGCAATAAATATAAATGGCTTAAATGCACCAATTAAAACACAAAGATTGGCAGGGAATAAAACAACATGATACGACTGCCTTCTGTCAGTAAAAGCTTACTTGAATTTTAGCAGCCCGGGTACAGTGCAAGTAGAAGGATGGAAACTACATCATTTATCAAAAGAAGGCAGAGAAAAGCAGCACTTTAGTATCAAATAAAATAGACTACAGAAAAAATTTTACCAGGGCAGAGCAAAAGACTGCATAGTAATAAAAGGCTTGGTCACCCTAAAAGGTGTGGCACCCCTGGGTGTGTGTACCTGGCTTACTCTGTTTCTGCGGCTGTAACAGAATATCGTGGGTTGAGTACATTGTTAACAAGGGACGTTTATTTAGCTCTTGGTTCTGCAGCCTGGAAGTCTGAAATCAAAGATCCGCATAGAGTGAAAGCCCTATGCTGTGTCAGAACACACCAGAAGTGGTCAGACTGGGCAAGAGAACAAGAGAGAGACAGAGAGACAGACAGACAGAGAGACAGATGCAAAAGTCTTCTGATTTGTAATTAATCTGCTTCCCTGGTAACATCCTTAACCCATTGTTAAGGACAGAGGCCTCCCGGCCTGGGCCACCTTGCAACGCTATTACAGGGGCAACAGAACTTCCACACGAGTTATAGATAGCGGGGACACTCAAACGGCAACAACACCTAACAACAAACGCTGACTTCAGTGTCTCCTGGGCCATAAAACCAACCCCCTAAATTTCAAAGTAATAGAATTGTGAAGGTACTGACCGCATGGATTCACACAGAATTCACACAGAAATGTAACGGGAAAATTTCACATCTGGGGAAATGCACGGCACAGTTCTACATAACTCATTGAATGAGAGGAAGTATTAGGAGAAATTTAAAAATATAGAACTAAATGAAAATAAACACATAAAGCAAGAAACAGATTCTATGTATTATAGAATTGTGGAGTAAAGCTTAGAAAGGACTGAGGACACTACCCTCAGATGTCCAAGGACTTTGCTTTCCAGAAAAAGGAAATGGGAAGGAGGTGATAGAAAATTTATCCCAGCTTTTGTCCCTCTTTCCTGAGCACAGAAAGAACACTGCACCTCTCCGAGCCTTCCAACGAGTGCCACCCACGGGAGTTGAAGACCCTTTTATCAAGGCATGGGTGGGGTTTAGAAAGCAATACACTTGTTGCCAAGGGCTTCTGTGAGTGTTAGGACTGAGGGGTAAAAGAAATACCGGTGACTGAGCATGGAGAAGTGAGACCTGTAGGGAGCACCACGGAGAACAAGCACAGCCTTTGTCCCGGGAGCCAGCCTCTCCCGGGCCGCCCAGCTGGGAAGAGGCTGGAGAGATCCGCCTCTCTCTCACTGTCCTCCCTCACCACTCAGCAGCAGCCTCTGGGGCGATTTCACCTGGAAACCAGAGGCAAAGGTGGCTTTGCCTTTGATCTGCAGTTCCCAGCAATGAAGCAGGGTAAGGCTGATGGGAGGTGCTGGACAGGAAGGCTGGGGATCTGGCTGGGCCGGAGCGTAGAGACTGGGCGATAATTTCAGAGACATTTAAAATGGCACGCCAAGGAGAGACTGCTGCAGGAGGGTTGTCAGAAGGAGCCGCCCACCCTCAGCTGCGTATGATGTAAGTGAGAGAGAAACTTTGATTATATTAAGCCACTGAGATCTGGGGTTGTGTGTTAAAACAGCTAGTGTTAATTACCCCGAATAAGACACCCAAAGTCAAGGCCCCCACGCCTGTGTGGAGTGCAATATTAATCTCTCAGCCCAGCACTCAGGAGTAATTAAAAAGCGATTCCGGTATTTACATGTGTCTCTTGCAAACTGCCAATGGAGATAACAACTCCTAATTTTAGTGAGTCCTCTCCAAACCTGTTAGATCCCCACTACCATCCTCAAACTGTTGCAAACTTCCCCCAGCCCCAGTGCAGGCAGAGAAATCTCCTGTTCACCTTCCCTTCCCTCCAGCTTTATCCCGTGGACATTCAAGCTCCTCTCATCCTTTATTAATCACAGAAAATTCCTGATTCTAGTTGCCTAATACAGAGGGATGTGAGGCTTATATAAAATTAAGACAGGGAAATAGAGACCCAGAGGCACGGTGGGTGGCACAGGTGTGTGTCTGTCGCAGCCTGGCTTCCCTGGGAGCTGAGATGGTCGGCAGGCAATGCTTTTATGGGGAGCACACCTTGGGCCACACCTATGGAAGGGACAGAGAGGAACACACATGGGCGAAGTGGGCCGGGCTGGGACACCGGAGATCTGGAATTCTCTCTTCAGGCCAACGTGGCTTGGCCTTTATCCCCCCGCCTCCATCTGCCATGGGTCCACGCTGCCCTGTCCACACTGCCCAGGTGACCTCCAGTGAGGACGTTGCTTCCGAGGGCTGAGAGCTGAAGGCTGGGGCTGACAGCAAGTCCTGCCTCGTGGGGAGCCCTGGACAGCTGGCCTCATGTCTGTCGCTGGGCAGCGAGCCCGTGACTGTGCCGGGGTGGCCGCGGCACAGGCTGGAGCCGTCCTGGTCTTTGTGGCGGTAGCTCTGTCCTGCTCTTCTGGCCTTCTGTGAAATGCAGCACTTTTGCCACTTGCTTCAAGAAGTTTCCTTCTCCCAAAAGGTTTCCGTTTTTGTAATAGTCCAGACATCCCAGTGTAAATGTTGGAGGCGAACTCTAACCAGCCCAGAGAGGAGGGTGGTAAGTGGCAGGGAGCCCCTGGGCAACCCTCTGCTAGCGTCCATACCCCTCTCAGCCATGAATTCCTTCCTTGTATGGACTCCGACAAGCTTCTCAGTCCCTGTGCACTTCGGTCTCCTCCCCGTTAGACATGGGGGTGGGCTTCCCTCTGAACAGCTGCTCAGAGGACGGAACCTTGTATTCTGTGTTAGGTAGGTGCTTGTCAATGACTGTATGATGGTCATCGTTGCTGACGTGGTGCCCTGGTCCACACACTTGATTGTTTTCATGGTTCTGGCTGCAAACTAAGTGACATGAGAACAGAATCAAATTCAGGGTCTGCTTCAATGTTGACCTTAAGGGGACATTTGATTTGGTTTTCATTCAGTTCTGTTTGCGACCAGAATCATGGAGATAATTCAGTGCGTGAACAGAGGTGCCACAGAATTCTTTAGTTTATCAGTACACTTGTGTCGTACACTTGTGTTCCTTGTGGGGAAATTGGTGCATGTGCATAACGTCTCAAAGCCTTTTCCCATCCTCCTTCCTAAGTCCATTTTTACTGTGAGAAAAGTGAGTTCAGTTTGAGATCAGTGACTTCACCCAGCTTGCCAGCATCTGAGAAGCTTCTTATGGCAGCTCCCAGAACCTCTTTTCCACCAGCTCCCTCTTGCCTTTCCTCCTCCAGTTACCAGCTTGCAGGAAAAGCCTGCAGGCATTTTGATGCCAGTTCCCACTTGAGTGGCTCCACCGAGCTCTCTGAATCCTCCGTCCTCTTTGGTTATGCTCACTTCTTGTTGCTGCCAACACCCATTGACTGGGGTTCCCCTGGTCACAGAGCTCTTGAAGTCAATCAAGGAACTTATCTTTAAGGGAGCAATGCAGGCTCAGGTAAGAGGTGTGAACGGCTCAAGGGATTGCTTTTTAGAGTGCTGTCAACACAGGAAAGCTCTGTCCACAGTGCCAGCTTTGTTTCTCATCGCCTAGTTTCCTAAACTCTAAGCTCCAACCAATAGTGTTTCCCTGAAGATTTCAAAACCTTTGAGCAGAGGCACAAGCCGTTTCTTGTCTGCCATCCCTGAAGTCCCCTTTTCACCCTGTGCCTCCTGCCATCACCACAGAGGTCTAGCACCTCCCCGAGGCTGGAGGTCTTCAGATTCTCTATAAAAACCGAGATTTCATCATGGTCTGTTCTGAGTCTCTATTCTGGCTCCTGCTACATTTTTGTCATCCCCTTTAGCAGCCAGTGTCACGACTTTGACAGGGATTATCTAGAGCTCACGGGCATGAAAAGAGAAGCAAATGCCCTTTACCTGTGGCTGGAAGTCGGGATCAGCTTGACAGGTTAGCACATGGATGGCTTCTATCCGTCTACTCAACAGTACGATGCTAGCTGAAGAGGAGAAGCCTGAATCAGAGCAGAGAGGAATCCCTGCCTTCAGTGAGCTTACCACCTAACATCGGAGATAAAATATAACTATGAAAACCAAGAAAAAGGCAAAACGTGATCATCAGAATAGTATTGCATGAGCAAGGTGCACAACAAACCTTTCTGATAGAGATTAGGAGGGAAGGGATTCTTGGTGGAGAATATGGTACTTTAACTTGACCTGGGAGGAAAGACAGAGTTGGGCTAAGTAGCAGTGGGGACAGATAGGTGCAGGCCAAGAACAGAGCAGATACAGCGGCCCCGGGAGTGATGAGGGACGAGCCTGGGGCATTTCATGTGTCTGTGAGTATTTAAGGATGCAGTGGGCAGTGACACTAGGCAGCTGGCTGTCACAGCAAAGGGAAATGCTAGATAAGAAGCGTAGACTCTTGGAATCATTCAAATGTTGGAGTGTCAGAGTGACGTCAGCAGAGCTGTGCCTGAGGCAGGTTTATTTTTAGGGAGAGACTAAAAATAGGCTCAAGACTCTCAGGAGCACAGTAGGATGTGTGGCTGGAGCGGCCCGAAATGGAGCTGCTTCCGAGGAAGTGCTTGCCGGTGGTGTCCATGAAGCTGCTGTGCATAACCTAGATGTCGAGTAAATGGTTTAGAGGGAAGGCTTAGAAGTGTGGGCGATTAGAAGCATCTGGAAGGGGGAGTCCATGGCAGTGAGGACACAGAGCTGGAGCGCACAGCTTCTAGGCTTTGTTCTTGGCTCAGGGCTCGTAAGGAAGAACAGCGGCCAGATTCTGGTGCCTTAGATGACTCTGTGCTTTCGTGTACAGATTTTTTTTTTTTTATCTTATAAACGATGCATCAGCTAACTAAAACTTTCCAAGCCTAAAGACAAAGTGACACCAGTTACCTGGTGTTCAGAAACACCTGGTGGGACCAGCTAGCTCCACCAGAGTCCAGAATGTGGGTTCAAGGTGTTGGCTGTACTAACTGGGAGCTGTTTCTTCTGCATCCTGTTAGAGTAGCCCCAGAACTCTGGAGTACCCACTCCCCCTGCTCCCACTCCCGTTAGACGATTGAAAATGAGAAGGTTATTTCAGTTATCTCAAAACATGTCCTTCTCTGGAGTCCCAGAAGGAAAAAATGCTGAAGAATTGTGTGACAACCTAGAAGACAGGAGCTGTAGATGGAAGCAGACTGTCTTCAGGAGCCTGAGATCACTCTGTTTTCTTTAGAGACTGGCTGAGACCACTGTCCCTGAGTCCTTGGGCATTTACAATTCTGCATTAAATCTAAGAGTTTCTTTTTGATGAAGTACTTTATGAGGGGCATTGTAAATTACTCTAAGGAAACTTTGTAGTCAGCAAGAATTTATGACAATGATAAATTTGGGCAATGTCTTTTTAAGTGTCTCCGTGAATGAATACTTTCAAAATTTCCCTAGGTTCTAGTCAAAGGTAAAGCCTCTTGGTGATTATTTTTGTACTTTCCACATCTCCGGTGACTTCTTTTATTAAGATTCCCAAGAATAAGACTTATGATTCATCTTGATGACATATTAACAGCCAGTCATACCAAATACGTTTTTCTTTCTTATGTACCAGAAAGTATTTTCTTGCTGTCAGCCTTTGGGGTACAATGAATTTCAGAAAGTTCTCTGGTGTTTTTTTTCTGAACATTGAACGTTCTTAGCTTTGTAAGTTATCAAAATAGTTACAAAGAGGTTCTGTAAAGGAAAAGAAATATAGAGGGAATGGAATGGTGTCTGATCAGAAAGACATAAGAAATATGAAAGTCATCCTATGATTTTTATTCATAGAAAATTGAATCGGATCAATATTTGTGATGAATTCTATGAATGGATAAAGATTCCCCTAAATACAATTTACATGCAACTCCAACTGATTGATTCAGTAGCCTCCCACTTAATATTTCCAATATGAAAGAGAATTTATCTTTTGCATTAAAAACCATTTTCAAGGTGATGTCATTTAGAAATGAAACAAATAAAATTACTTGAATTTCACAAGGTTCTTTATTGTTTATCTCCTGGGCTTTACTTCTTGGATGTGTTTACAGCAGAAAAAGCAATCAAATCATAGGCCACTTCAGGTTTTCCCAAGAGAAGATGAGTCATTCATGACTCATTTGGAGGAAGAAAGCATCTTTCATCATTTGCAGAAAAAAAGCAGACACTAACCCTATGTTTTTTTTTTAATGTAACACAATTTACTCCCCCTCTGCGTGTGAACTCTCACATTTCAATATGCAGGTCCTAATAGCAAGTTAAAAATATGCAACATATCCCGTTGGGCATTTCATGCAGACGTAAGTAGTTAAGGATTTTCCTGTCTCTGGCAGATCTCATTTGACCTTAACATTTTTATTTGAATTTGTATAAATAGATACAAAAATCCAAGATGGGAAAGGGACAAATTGTGAAAAAAAAGAATATTTATCCATTTAGCTAGGTCCCTTGGTGCTTCTCTACTAAAGAAGATATTTGTCTTTTTTTTAAAGAAGGGAAAACATAGTCTAGAGATGCAAAAATGTGCAGTAGGATTTGATGTACTGTCACACTTCTTGATGTGCCCATCATCAGACTGTTGATCTCTGAGAAAGAAATTGTCTAGATTCGTACTCAGAAAAGAAGTTCTGGCACAAGTTCTTGACATAAAATTGCTGCTTTATGGATATCTGTTGAATAAATCAGCTCATCAAAATGGATAGGGGTTTAAATTATAATTACACACAGTATGGAATACGTCCATGAATAAGTACAGGAGTAGATATGTGAACCAGTCTTCCTGGATATTTGGGAAGGAACAATTAAAATGTCCTGACAGCTTCGTCAGGGAACCTGGGGGACAGTTTACTGGGTCTCCAAAGTCATGATAGCTGGCTGGAGGTTCTAAAGTCATGTGAAGGAACCAGACCTGGATTAAAAGCTATGGAGCTCAGTTTTGGTACACTCTGGGCATTATTAATTGATTATTGATTGACTTATGCATTTTCTAGTTCAGATCACTTAAATTCTAGCACTGAGTTACGGTGCTCATTGGATGGGTTCTTCTGTTTAAGCGCTGCTATCTGTGGTAAGTGATTAAGGGTTCTTCCATCAATTGCTACCCACCCAGGTGGTGCTCCTCACACAGCTTTCTTCTTCACCAGGTGGCACTTACATGGTGTTTCCTTGCTCATGTCAGATTGCCGGGGAGCTCTGTGTGTGACGGTGGTGGCGGGATGGGATCCTCAGTAGCAATGGCCGGGTGTAGGGTAGTGATCTGAGTTGGTTGGTTTTGTGCACACACTGAAATGCAGATCAAAGGCAAGGATAGTTTTGGAAAATGTAACAGACAGTGGAGCAAAATCCGAATTCAGGCTTAGAGTCCCAAATAGAGCATCAAACAAATACTTCGTAGAGTCCAAATGTTTAGGAATGAAACAAATAAAATTATTTGAGCTTCACGAGGTCCCTTATTTTTTTTCTCTGTGACAGTCCCCTAAACTGCTCAGAATGTTTTGTCCCTATTGCGTGCTTGGCACACCCCGGAGACTTATGTGACCTTGTCCAATGAACCGTCCCCAGGGCCTGTTTCTCCAGGGTCTCTCATGTCCCTCCCTCTCTCTCTGCCCTCCCTCCCCCAATCCTTCCATCTCTTCTTCTCTCCCTACTCTTTGGCATAGGATTTGAATTTTTGTAATTAGACTCTATGGTGTTGACCTCAAGGCCTAGACCTACAAAATCCAAAAATATTGGGAAAGGCACACGACAGAGTTCGAGAGTGATGGGGTTAAGCAGCTGGGCAGAGGTGGTAGACACGGGGTCAGTGGGACAGGGAGGCTCTTTCTGACCTATTTGATCATCTGTGGATAACCTTGTCGAGAGCTCTGGATTGATCGGGGTAAAATGAATGACAGTGGAAAGTGATAGGAAGAAGCCCCCCGGGACCTGTGCAGACTCCCCGAGAAAGTGCCTTCTATAGGAGGCAACTGCTCTGGGACTGCATGCTAGTCCCAGTGTTTCTTGACTCACTTTTTTATAAAACTGAGTATTATGAGGGCTGACGGTGCTTTAGGTACTTGCTTGCACTTCTCAGTGACACACTCAAAGTAAGTCAGCAACTTGAAAAAAATGTTTTAATGTATTCCTTCTGAGAATATTCCTTATTTAGTAATAGATGTTTAGAAATTAAAGTATAATTTCATAATAAGGTAAAAATGTTAGAAATAAAAAATAATTCTAATCACCCTAATATAACATCTCCTTTTACTATTACATAATTTCTTCTCTTTCCTTCCCATATTTATTCTGTGTCTCTTCTAGCCAGGTGCTATTTCAGGGCCAGGGGATACAGCGTCACACAACAAAGATTTCTGCCCTCTTGGAAATTACGAATATTAAACAACAGACATAAAAGTAAGGAAATTGTATGTTACAAGCCTTTCATTTTATCGGACAAGAGTAAAAGCCAATCAGGGTAATAGCATGAGACTCCTCAAGGAGAAGGTTGCTCAGGAAGGTATTGGCTGTACAGATCACAGAGAGGACCAGGACAAAAAAAACCCAAGACAGGAGCTTGCCGGGGAAGCTTCGGGAATGGCAAAGAGTGGGGAGGGTCTGGGAGATGCGGTCGGAATGCTAGGGTGGGTCTTAGGCCTCGGCACTCTGCCTCTCTGTGCACGGAGATGACTGAGATGCTGGATGGACTGACTTCCCTGTTTCTGACATTCTTCCGGCTGCCTGTGGAGCTGGAATGCCGACTGGCCCAGGAAGGCAGAGGCAGCACTGCAGTGTGGGGAGAGCGGAGGGGGCTGAACCCCGATGGAGCAGCTGCGCGCACACCTCTTCTGCAGGGACCTACACATAATGCCCGTGACTCGTGGATAAACCGCTCTGCTCCCCGCCGAAAGCCAGCAGCCCAGAAACCTCAGAAACGTGGCTGTCATTCTTGTTCCCAACACTCCTGTCAAAGGCAACGCTTTTAGCAGTTGGATTCAGATTTCGTGGGGGCATGACTTGGAGCATTTTGACGAGAGTTGTCTAAAACACAGTGTGCATTTATTGACTTTTGCTAATGAAAGCATTACTGAATCATTAGTATCATTGTTCCCTGCTTCAAAGATCACATGCCTCGCCCATTTACCTTCGTGCAATCTGGTAAACTGAATGTGTTTGAGATTATGCGATCCTTTTCTGCCCAATTTATCCTGTAAACTGCCAGTGTAAATCATGCTGCTTTCATGCAATTTCAGCCAAAAGGGTAACAACAAAGCTATTGTAGGAGACACCCTGACTTGGGAGGGGGGTGGACACGGAAGCACTGAGTTGGAATGCTGTTTCAATGCTTTAAAGATGTTTTTAGTTTTAAAAATAATTTCCAGATTGTCATTTTTGTAATTCAAATCTCAATTTATAGCCTAAACTTGCAATAAGCTTTGGGGGGTATTAGAGCTCGCTTTGTGTCTTTGTCTGCTAATGATTCCATTACTGCATCTATATGAAACAAAAACATTAAAAAAGGAAAAAAAAACCAGCATAAGCAGTTTCTAACCATGTTCTGTGATGAGCAGCAGACACTTCGGGGGAGCTGTCACTGTGCGGGGAGGATGCGATTTTCCTTTAGTTTCTACAGTATTCTTGCTTTTTTCCAGGGCAAGCAGAGGCACGGAACAGCCCCTGACCGTGGATCGCGAGTGTGGGACAAGTCTTCAGGATGACCAAGCCATGCCTCAGATTTTATAGACAGGAACTCAGAGGTTCAGGCTGGTGAACTAATTCAATGAAGAAGCAGTATTTATATATTATTCAAATACGACGTTCTCACATGTTATTATGGCCTGGCGTTTATAAGGGGAGCGACACTGAGAAAAGTCTTATGGGGCTTTATTCCCTCCCGTTATCTTTGTCACAGCCATCCGTCAAAAGACCCACTCATCAGTTTTGATGGGATGAAATCAGGTTGTCGCAGACTGAAGAGAAGGGGTTCAAGATGACTGTCCCGTCTCCACAGTTGGGGTGACGGGTGAGTGACAGGGGCAGCACACCCCAGAGAGCAGTCGCTCGGCCTGGTCTTCCTAACACTGAAGTGAAAGCCCCGTCGAGCTGTGCCCCGTCCCTGTTCTCTGTACAGATGGCCCCATCCTCCCCGTTAGGGAACCGCGGCTCACGGAGCACCAGAGGGGTAAAAGAAAGGCAGGAAGGTGCACCCCTGTCTAACGGAAGACAACGACTGTGATAAGGCCACTGCTCCACACAGGACGAGCACCCCGGTTATGGGGGTGTAAACATGACCTCATTAACAATCCTGCTAACAGGCAGAGGCGGATACGGGCCTCACACGGAGCCTCCTCCCAAACAGGGCACATTCTGATGACCCTGGATTAGACTTTGGATCTCTGAGTTCCCATTTGTCAGATGGGAAAGACATTGCGTGCCTTATCAGGTGGGAAGGCTTCAAGGTGCTAGAATGAGGGGGAAGAGTCCTAGGGAACATCTGGGGGCGTCTTGTGGGCGTCTGCTTGTGGCAGTTTCTTCCTTGGCCTGAAATCCCCAGCCCCCTAGTAAACAGAAAGGTGAGCCTGTCTTGAACCCTGCTGGGGCACTAAGAATCCTCCCAAATAAGTTGAAAAGTCTGCTTTTTCAGTTGTTACTTTTAAAAATATTGAGTTTACTGCTGGTGGGAGACAGTGCTGGAATCCCAGGTTAACTTACACTGTGGTTTCCCAAGTCAAGGCTGTGGCTGGCCCCGGTACATAACTGCACGCTGATCGGGGTAGCAGGTGTATTTCTAAGCGCCTTGCCCTGCCTTCACTTGGGTTGGGTTGGGTCGGGCTGGAGGGCAGGCATCTGGCTCTCTGTGCCCTGTGGCCTCGTGCTGATGAACGCGTCTCTTGTCTGTGTGCAGCCTTCAGTGTGACTCAAGTATGGTGACCTGTGTGCCTTTTCTACTGGGACAGGCGGTGCTGCTACTGCAAGGCACTGGTGCGGTGGGGACAAGCTGCTCGGGTCCTTCAGGGGTGCTACTGGCTTGCGTTCTCCCTGTCAGCTGGCCTGGGGACCTGTCTTGGTTGAAGGCACCATCTCAGCCAGGGCGGTCCACACAGGCACTGCTGATGCGGGTGCAGTAAAGACCTGGGCTCTCACACAGGAGTCAGCTCAGAATTCACTCCCAGGGGAGTGACATGCCACAGCTCCCATGGGTCAGTGCAGACACCTTGCTGGGCCAGCTCTCACTCAGTGCCCCACCCATGCGCTGTCCTGCCTCTGTTCTTCCAAGGATGGTTCTCCCCGGTGTCCTTGTGACCACTAATCCTGGTCTGTCAACTGCACTGGATTAGGAACACCTAGTACATAGTAAAGCAAGCTCCAGGGTGTGTCTGGGTGGGCCTTAGAAGCCTGGCCTTGGGCACCGTGTCTGCTTCCTCTTCCGTACTGTTCCCCGCTCTGCTTGAGGGCCACCAGGAACCAAGTAGCTTGGTCCCACCACACCCCTGCCTTGATATTCTGCCTTGGAGCCTGCTGATGGTACACTGGGCTGTCTCTGTCTGTCTCTGTCTGTCTCTGTCTCTCTGTCTGTCTCTGTCTCTGTGTGTCTCTCTCTCTGTCTCTCTAAGGTCTTCCTAAGCTCCTAAGTTACTCAGTCTGGACTCCTACCTTAGCTGCTCACAATGCTGGGGTTACAAGCGTGTACCACCATGCCTGGCTAAAGGATCCACTCTTCAGTATCTAAGAGCCTGACCAAAGTTGCACATTTCAAGTCTCCTGGGTGCTTTGCTCCACACTCAGAGGTCAGACTGGAGAGACACCCAGGATGGCTCTCAGACAGAGGCAATGGCATCAACACCCTTGGCACTGGCGGGAGGGGATAGAGCCATTGTCAGGCATGGTTGGCGAGCTGAGCTGAGAGGCTGTCACAACAAAGGCCTGGACCCACCCTGAGCACTGGGGTCACCAGGGTGGCTTTTTGGAGTTGACCAGGGATGGCATGGAAAGAAAAGGCATTCATACTGCCCGCACTGGCTGGACTGCCCTAGGTGAGGTGCTTCCCTTCAGCCAAGGCTTTTAAATTAAAATTTGCTTTTAAATTGCTTTTAGGAGCCTGGGAGGTAGCTTACTGGCACAGAGGCTGTCAGGCAAGCATAAGGCCATGAGTTCAATTCCCGGTACTGAAAAAACAAGCAAACAAAATTGCTTTTAAATTTATTTTTAAATTGCTTTTAAAATTAAAAGCAAATTTTAATTTTAAAAAATGATCTGCAATTATACCTACCTGTTATCTGTGTTTTGCCTTTGATGGTGCAACTAGAGGTCAGCTTCCTGGTATTTCCAGTTGATGTAATTTTTTCTCCCGAATTTCTATATAAAGAACATATGTTACTTTTATAAATGGAAAAAGTGACAGTTTATTAAGAAAGTCCCTCGTACATTCTGTGCATGGCCCTGGCAGTGGTGCTAAGAAACCTCAACTGCCTCTGACCCCTCAGAAATGAACACGGCTCCGAGCCCTGCACAGGAGTCAGAGCCTTGTGGTCCAGGCAGAGAGAACCATTAGCACACGGGGCATATTTCATGCTCCGGCCCATAAATTCAGACACAGACTGTTCCCAGTGCAAGTTACAGAAAAAAAGACGTGAGTAGCAGAAGCAGGACCAGACAATATCATCTCCCTTTTTACAGATGTCCGTTAACATAACAAAGCAGACGTGAGTGTTTAGCCTGCACCCTGCCTGTTCAAGTGAAGGCTGGCTAGGAGTGGTCAGAAGCCAGCCCACTGGACCAGGAAAAGCATTTTCTGCAAGGAAAAGAAGACCAAAAGATTTGAAATATGTGGTCACCAAGGAAGGGCTACCATGTTTTACTTTGTGATTATGAAAATTTGTCTCTTTTGACAAGTGGAATGAATTCAGGCACTCAGGCATGGCGAAGAAAGTTGAATTGTCTGAAAATTAAATCAAAGTAAAAATGAAAAATATAAATGGGTGTTTCGTATTCACTAACATGGGAGTCATCTTTTAGATCTGACATTTTGAAGCAATCCCCCAGAAACCTGAGAGCTCATACCTCTGAGTAAATTATGGTTCCGAGCAGCGTGCAAATAATTGAGCATGTTTGTTGTTTTTAAATAAATGCACTAAATCTGGAGTGGCATCAGTGGTCTGGAGTGCAGAGAGCACTGTTTTGTATCCCAAGATGTACGTAGGATGTGCTGAGATCTTACTGCAGGGAGAGGATCGTTGCCACTGATGCCCTGGGGATGGCACACAGGGGCGCTGGGTGAGGCCCACTGAGTAGTTGGCCGAACAGGGGAAGCACCCAGTGGAAACTGCTCACTCTGACTCCCCTCTCCCTGGAGGTGTGGCCCAAGCAACTCATTTCCCCTTAAAAAGGCAAATAGGGGTGCTGGAATTCCAGGCCCCTGAGTTAGATAAAAATATTCCAGGCAGTCAGACAGTGCTGTGTCCTCAAAGGAGCCAGTGCAGAAGGCCAGGTACCTTGCAGTTGTGGGGGAGACAGACACCTCCTATCGTGGACCAGGCCTCAAGGCAAAAGATCAAGCAAATGTACCCCCATCCTAAGGACTGATATTCTAAATAGTCCTCTGTCACCCTGAGGAAGCCAGGAATCACCGTCCCAGCCTCCTGCAGACCAGGAAGAGTCACTGTCTGTATTCATAACCACTTGCTGGGGGACTCACTTCCCCGTTCGTCCTGATTTAATCAATTTTACCTGAGCAGTGAACCTTATGGGGTGACCACAGTTCTCTCCCACCTTTGTCCACCTTGCAAGTTCTCATTTTGGATCTATAGTTTTGTTCTATAAAATTCCTAGAAAAGATGGGGACTTTGGTAACCCAGTGGGGACCCCTTCTGTCTCTCTCACACAGAAGCTTTCTTTTTCTTGATAAAGGTATTCTGCTCTTAACCTCCATTGTTCCTAATATTCATCCTTCAATTTTAGAGAACACAAATTCACACTGCACATACAGTAGGTTAGGAGTTTCATTCCCCTATATCACTGGGAAGACTGATAAATGATCACCAAATTGTTGCCACATGGTGGGTATGAACAGTGCCCAGTGTTGAGGACTGAGTTAGAGTCCTTTTCTGTAACCTTTCTGCAGTGGACCTACACTCTTGTGTGCTCTGTGTGTGCTTACGTGCTGCATGTAATCAGTGTATGTATATGTTTTGGGCATGTTCGTGTGTATGGGTATGTGTGTACTTTGTGTGTGTATTCATGGGTATACTTTGTGAGTCTGTGTCCTTAGTATTTATGTACTTTGTGTATGTGTACTTTGGACATCTTCCTGGAAGAAGGCTCCTTTGAGAACCAGCAATGAGCTCTTCTCTGTCCTCGTAGGCGGAGGGGCTCAGCTGATGGACCTGGAATTGTGGTTTGTAACTGAGCGATTGAACTCACTGCCTACACTCCTGTGTGTTCATGCAGACATGCTGCATATATACTGGGCTTTACTGTGCTTTAGAAAAATATACTATGTGGGTATATTATGCTATATTTTTAAATACAGTACTATAAGCTTTTAAAGCAAGTGTAGACACTTTCTGTCTGGAACTCAGTGATGTTGTGGGAACACCACATAATTTAAAAATAAGCCATCACACAAATGGTGTCCTGTGGTCAGTTAATGAGGCTGGAAATCTTGAATGTTTTAATTAGTTCCATAGTGGAGAGTGGTTCAGTTCACGATGAGAAGGCTGTGACCTAACTGGAGTCCAGGGAATTTGTGGTAATAAGTTGAGAGCTTATTGGGACTGAGAAGCCTCCCGCACCCCTGCCTGTCGCTTCCCCT